TGGATCCAGTCCTGTCCCAGCCCCGATTTCCACCCCCACTTTTACAGCCAACTGTGCCATTCACATTGTGCAGATATATTTGAAAGAAGTGTTGAAGTTGAAATACATGCATTTCAGTAATCTCAATCAGTCCCTTCATACACGGCAGCAAGGAGCCATTATGAGGTGGAATGATGTTTGGTCACTGAAGGTACTGAACAGATTTTAAACGGTGAAGTGGCAATGAAAGGGCTGGGGAGGGTGTGAAACTTTTTAGTTTTTTCTTCAGTGTGATACATCTCCACAGTGACTGGTTGAGGCTTTGGACAACTGGAGTTTTTAAATATAAACATAAACATTATTTCAGAAGCTGTCTAGTTTTAATAAGCCTTAAAAGGTGCAGTGACTCTGTAAACCAACAACAGACTCTAAGACAGCAGTCAGATGATTCCTGAAAACCTTTTCTTTGTAGGTCTAGTAGCAATTACGGAAGTATCTAGTTTTACCCTCACAAATCTAGCAGAAGTACTTTAAGCTCGGAAGGAACCTAGTAAATCAACAGCAAAAGACCTTAAGCTCTCAGTTTTCTCCAAAGCTTGACAATTTTATTTTAAAGTTTCAGTGGCTGCTCGAATTCACAAAACTTTTTAAAGGACTGTACTTCTCTGATGCTTAACTCTTCAAAAGCCTGTCATGATCCACAGGTTATGAGTTAAATAACACGATCTGGCATTTCCTAAGAGTAGCAAGAGTAACCACACATAGCCTGAAAAATTTGACTGTTGATATGGATTTAGAAGGATAAAGCAAAGCATATACTTTTTTCAAGACAGACAAATATATAATCTCACAAGATCAGATATCAGATTTTAAAACCTTGAGCCAAAAAGACAGTAAGGAAGACATGAATTTGCATATGAACCACTAAAGATCCCGCTATATATGGATATAGCACAACATTTAGCTGGTGATGGTTTTGTTTACTTTCCTTGTTCATCATGAACTGATGACTGAATTCCAATGACTTCAAAATGATAATAGCTGAATTTTTTTTAGCCTATTACTTCAGTTATTGAATTCAATTTAAATTAATTCACTTTCACAATCAAATAAAGCATAATAATAACATTTGCTATGTTTCATATTGGTTCTCTCAATTTCTGCTTTTCTTTCTGTATTTCTTTTCCTCAATAGAGAGATTTAGTGACAAAGAGGTTTTGCGTTCCCAAAAGGATTCACAGCACTTCCTACTGCTCCATTCTCCCCTAAAGTGTCACACTTTGCCTTTAGTATTGTGAACTTTCTGATGACATCCCAAACAGAGATACAGGGTCTGTGATACAAAAGGAACACGTAGTACTGAAAAAAAAACATCAGGAAACTCCTGGGAAATATTTCAGGAGGCATCAGAAGGACAGACTGGGATAAAGAAAGAAAAAAATAAGAAAAATCTGAAACACCAGAGTATGCACAGATAGATCATGTCAAAGAACTACTCAATTTCTCTGAACAAATAATTCTTGATCTTTCCTGTGTTTTATACAGTCCTTAAGTGTGACTTTAAATTGCTTTCAGCCATCTACTTCTAGTCTCACATTCAACCCTTTAACCCATATTACATTTTACTTCACTTCATTTAATATATTATCTTTCATATATCTCAATGCTATGCTATTTTAGTAGGGGTGGGATGGGGAAATCACAGACTGTAAATTAACGAAGAAACCCTGCATCCACTGAACCCCGCATCCACTGGCATATCTGTACTCTTTCTCATCCTCTTTTGTTGGCTTTTCTATGAGCAGATAATGACACATTTTCAATTATTGCAACCTATATAGATCTTAATTTATTTCCCAGTGCTGCCTAGAGTATACTTATTTACTTTGATTAAGCTCTCTAGCTAAAAAAAAAAATAAAACTATGCTTGGCACACTCAGTGAAGGACAGCAGAATCACTACATCATACACTACTATATACATACACTACAAAGAAAGGAAAACAGCAAACTTGAATCATCAACTTGGCATTACAGTTACAGATTTACAGCAACATATGGTAATTTGCCTCAAGTTCTCTTGCACATGCTGACCAAAATAATCCATTGAAAGAGACATGCCCTGAGTTGTAAGAACAGAAACCAAATGCTAGATCCCAGCTTTTTACATGAGTCCCTGTCTGTAAAGAGTTCATCCATAAAGAGAAAATTTTCTTTGAAAACAAGCACATTTCTGAACAAACATTTATTTTTTCCTTAGTGCCTAACTGAGGCATAAGCTACCTTTCTAACTATTGTACATGAGTTGAACTAACAGTGCCGGGCACAATGTTGAAGGTGCTACTACACTACAAACACTTTATAATAATATGTAAAATACAAAGCCTCTCAAACAGACTGCTCAGACATGGACACAGCCACCTGTGTGGATTTGACTGCAAAAAATATATGCTAACAAAGGTGACTGAGACTTTTGTGGGTTTCTGCTTCAGAGGTTTGGGGCATTTCTTGGAACAAGTCTGGAATAGAAGAACAGATTTTGCATTTATGGTTTGGCAAGTGCTATTTACATAAGCAGCTAAGACATCAAAGACTCCTGTAGTGAAGCACCAGGGCATAGCAGCTTTAGCGAGGCAGACCACAGCCAGACTTCATAAACGAGCAGAAAACCAGGCTCATTGGTGCACATAGAGCAATACTATACAGAAAAACTAGACTAGTCCAGATGCAGTACAGATATCTCAGCTTGGTTCAGTGTGCAAGTTAATAAGCCTCAGTTCTCAGCAGAGTTTACCAGGTCAATACTGATACAGGAGTAATTGAGCTTTGCTGCAGTGCAAACCAGTAAGTTGTTCAGGACTCTGTGTTAGCCCTTTATGTGTACACTGATGTGGCAGGAGGGCCTACCCAAACAAGGCCTAGAATCCAATCAGAGAATGCATACAATGCAAGCTATCATGCAAGTTATCTGTGATGAGTTACTGGTGGCGCCAGGGTGCTGTTTTGGTATTGAAATGCTAAAACCACCCTGTTCAACTAAACTCCACGCACACATTCTGCTTTTCGAAGTTGGACGTGACAGATAAGATGGGAGCTGGCCTGTAAATGTGTGACTAGCAGTCAACCACTTTATGCTATAGAAGTCCAGTCCCCTTTCATACAGTTAGGTTCTTCTAACATAACCCTTCTTGAAGTGTTGGTGTAGAGATTCCTCCCTTGTGTGGGGACACCCTCCAAGGATACTCCTCGAGGCTGAGAGGAAGAGATCTCCCCATGAGCGTTGATATGGGTGAATTATATCAAATCTCTAATAATTAATTCCTTTTTGCTAGTTTTAATATAATTGCTTCAATAATTGCTTCAATATAGTGCACTATCCTATCTTATACTATACTACTGGTAGTTTTAGCTTTTATATTGCGTAGTAAATAATTTGGATTAAGATCTTTTATCTGATCATTTGTAATAATAAATGATTAATTTTATATAAATATTCTCATTTTGCCAATCATTAAAACCTGCAGGACAAAAGCGGGAGTCCTCACGATTTAACAGCAGGGCTTCTTTAATAAATTTTGTCTAAGCCTTCTATACCTGGGACAACCGAAATTAACCTGAAGTTACTGGCTTGGACTTGTTGTACCACTGTTCCCCACATTTTAGTTTCCTTGCTTACCCCAAGCAAAGTAAGCTTGGACTATCTCTACACATCCAATTGTAGCTTTTCATAAAATGCACATTCAGGGAGCTGATCAAAGCTCTTGACAAAAAAGTCACTCTGTGTTTGCTCTGGAAAAAAAGACTAATTCAGGTCAGAGAAGGTTAGAGATGCATTGAAAACCAGAACACTTCCAACCTGACCTTGCCCAACAGCAAGACCACAGGTAACAGCGATCCTTATTCTTTCAGTCCTTGCTTCTTCTGGCAACAGTACCAATTAGTACTTCATGTGGTTGCTGCTCACCAGAATAAGACCATTCATGCTAACATTTAAGTTTTCCCTTCCTTCTCTGCTACCTTACCCCTTCACACTGAGAGCATAATGACAAAATGTAGAATTTAGCCTTAATTGGATCTCTGCAATGTTATCACCTGAATTAGCTCCCCTGTGAATAATTATCACTGCCTAGAGGCTGACAAATTGCTTCCCTCTACTTCATGATTGTCAGGAATTTCAAATTATATGCTGAGCATGGGGAGGCTGGGGGAAGGGGGGGGGGGAAGTAGGGGGGATGAAAATGAAAGCCTAGAGAAGCATAATCATAAAGTTTATTAAAATACTTGGCACAGAGTTCCATAGTCTCCATGAGTTCCAAAAGGTATGAGTGAAGAACTTTGCTGGGGCAACTGGGCAACATCCAGTCTTTCACCCAGCAAAGACTACGGCAATAGACTTGCACAGTCAAAGCGAAACTGCAACCACTGCTCACAGTTAGGCAATTCACATGTTATTAGCTACCCCATTTAATATATGTACACCAAATTGTTTACTATTTCATTTGCAGGTTTGATCTTGCATGGTTTCTTTGCAGCATAGACTGATAGAAGTGTAAACATATTGAAGGGGATAGCAGCAGACTGTCATGCATTTAGAAAAGCATATAACAGTTCCTGCATTTTAAGAAAAAGGTCTTGGTGAAAAAGTGTTCTTTCTGAGAACAATCATTCTCTGTCTGGGCAAGACCTCACACAGAAACATAGTGTCATTATACCACAATATCCATCTCAGATATCGAAAGAGCTGACAACTGGGAAGAAATTTTTATCTCATAAACCCAAGTCACTATAAAGGTATAACACTCTGAAAATTACTTGAAGTGGTCAGATTAAGCAATAGGACAAATAGGGCTTTTATCCAATTTTTACATTAATGCTGCTGTGCTTGTAAGATTGATGCATTTCTCAGTTCATTTCAATGCAACTCCTGAAACTTCTTTCCCATCTTGCTGAACTAACAACACGGCTCTGGTATAGACAAGGTAGCTGCCAACATATTCCCAGAAGAAAGCTTTTTCTGCTTACCTGACATACAGTGACCTCTTCTGATTAGTCCTCAGGGATCCAGACCCAGAACTCATGCTGTGATTCATCATCTGCTCACGCAGGTCATGGATTTTTGCCTCAAATCGAGCGTACTCTAAGGAGATAAGAAACGCCCAGAGAATAAAGATATTTTAGTTTTCTTGACCTATATAATCATTAGGGCTGCTAAATGCAAATTGATATTAAATTAATGAACGTAAGGCATGTTCTGAAAATGGAGGTCTAACAGGACCTTGCATTAATGTATCATTTTAGGTAAATCAATGTCTTTTTTATTGTGATACCTGAACATTTCAGCACTGACTAGGTGAGTAGTCAGATAGCTAGACCCACTGAACTGCAGTTTCAGGAAAGGAAAGGAGGTTCTAAGTGTGTTACCAAATATCTCTCAGTCTGTGGAAAGGATGTTGAAAGCAGCTTTCCACTGTATCATTCCTCCTTCCAAACAATCTGATATGTTGTTAGGGGCAGTGGGATGGTGCACTGAAGTTATTAATGAGTCAAGCATTTACTGTAAAATCCCATCAAACTGAAGAAGATATCTCCAAGCCTAATTATCCCCACAGCAGCTGTCAAATCATTATATGAGCAATTAGCCACCCTATTTACTCTGCCCACTGAGGTTTGGGCTCTGTTTCTTTTAAATAGGTGGAGCCATAACTTGGTCTTAGGTTGGGTGATCCCCGAAATGCCAAACCTAAGCTGCATAAGGATGGCACAAAACTACCTTCCTCACCTTGTTCTCCTCCATAGCTCTGCTGGCAGCTTTGTAAAATGTTGTGACATGCTGACCAACAACATGGGATCAGCACTGGAACAAGGATTCAGCTAGAAGTGTATCATTTGGTAAGGCTCCTTGCTGACAGGACCCAGCCCTTGTACAGCTTGGTCAATGGTCCCTTCTGCTGGCATGTTCCCCTTGCTCGTTGTGCGACCTAATGGGCTGAGTTTTGGTTTGCAAGAGGAAAGGTTGAAGTTTTGGAGACAAACTCTAATTCCTTTTAACTGACAACCTACAGGCAATGCTCCAACCACAAAGAGAGTCATATTTCAACCTAAGCTCAGGAAATCTATTGATGCGAGCTAGGAGACTAACTTGAGAAGAGTGTACACAATACGTTTCAATGAGTCAGTGACACTTTGAAGAGTAAGATGTTGCAGACTGATGCCAGCAAAGAGGAGATGTTTCCTGCACCTCAATGTCTTATTCCACTGATGCCTTCAAAAGAAGGATTCCTTTCCCCACAGAAAGGCTAGAGCACAAGTAAAACAGCAATGCGATGTTTCCTCCCTTAAAGGCTGGAGATACATTCCATCAGATCACACCACCTCTCAGCTTAAGCAAATAAATCTTTACAGTGCATTTATAACCCATTGGCCTGCATCCTGTTAGCTGCTGTTTGAGCTACATGAGAACACTGTAAGACAGCAATATTAGCATTTTCTCCTAGTAGAAATCTCAACATTATTTTTGTTTGATCATTTGTTCCCACTGGCTCAGTTCCCAGAATGTCTAGATGCTTTGCAATAACTAATTTATTTTATTCAGAGCCCTTTAACTTTTCATTGGATAAAAACACCTGACCTTTGCAAGATCCCACATTTTACGTAAACACTAGCTACCTTCAAGCTGGCTTAGCAGAGAGATTTGATTTGGGGGTTTGTGTTTGGGTTTTTCCCCTTCTTCATCCTTGACACATTTTACTTCCCCTTACCTATCTGCCATTGACCTTTCTTGGCATTGCCTACTCAGTCTGTTAAGTGACAGTGGCTACTTTGCTAGTCAACTGGGAACCACTGCTGCGGTATAAGACTCTTCAGTCTTCCCACATACCTATGATTTCACTGACTGCAACTGAAATTCTGTATGTCAGAAGAAGAGACACTCCCACATGCAGATGGTATTTTAGATTTATTCTGTTGCTTGTTTCTTGCTCATTTCATTCACCTAGGGTACATCTTCAAACTTCTCAGAAATTTAAAAGCCCAAATCCTCAGTAGAACTAAGGCTCCTACAAACCTGTGTTGTTTTTTTAAGCAGAGTTCAGTTTTGAAATGTTTGTCCCAGTGTAGGATTTAAGTTTGCTCTGAGTCCTATTTGTTCTAATCCCCTGCTTTAGAATTTATTTACTAAATAATCTTCTTCTGAACGAGGCTTTGTTTAGCTTATATTTCATTATAACAAATCTAACATTTCTTCTTTGCGAATAGGAAAGGTGATCTTAAATACCAAACGCTTATGTTTCTCTTCCTCATACAGTATCAGTCCTATGTATATAGACAGAATATTACAATTTTAAGGGTTGTTACTAGGTCTTTTTTATTTATGGTGGATACACTCTAAAAAACAGTGAACATACAGTGTAACTCAGCTTCTTTGATGTTTTACATCTGGGCAAAGCTAAAGATATGAGTGATCTACAGCAGAGCAACTTTCCCTTTAATAAACAACTACATCCTAGGCTGACTGTGTATGTGAGGTGTAGGAGTAAATCCCAGATTTAGACACCGATCTGGAGACTGAGAACAGAGGATTGAAAATCCGACTCTCTCTAGCACAGCATCCAGCTATTTGCAACATCAGCTCATGAGATACTCAAATGACTACAGCTTGGTCAGATGATGATATTATCACCTGTGTTCTGACGTCAGAGCACACTTGTAATTCAACTGATTTTAACATACTGTAAATTTATTCTAAATTCAGTAAGCTCTCTCTTTTTGGAAGACCTCTTGAAACTACAATACATCTTAAAAATTGTCTAATAAGAGTGTGATGGAAATTCAGGGTTCAAGCTCCTGCTCCCTGCTTGATATCAAAAAATACTGAAGTACTAATGATATTCTGTTCCTTTGTGTTCTTGAGATGTTTCTTCCTTTGGATTGAAATACATAGATAATTTGAAAATAACCAAATTTACGGGACCATATTTTTCCGCAGTACCTTCTTCATACTTATGCATAAAAAATATTGAAATGTAAACTCCTCCCTTCCTCCTGACAAATGCCTAGACCAGAAATTGTACGGCCATCAATACAGCTCAGATCAACTTCTTTAAACTCAGCCCTCCTAGTTCTACTGATTCCTAGATAGTATAGTGACAGCTGCATTTGAAATCTGAACAGAAACAGCGATACTCTGCCATCAGAGTAGTTCTGCCTACTGAGAAAAAGTCCTTTTTTCTTAACACTTCTTTGTGAGTGTGATCGTTCCAGGGGATCTGATTCCTAATAGCTTTGCATTTGTTAGGTGTGAATAAGGGCAGTGCTAAAGTCCAGAAAAACACTTCATGCTTCCTTCAAATTCAGCATTGGACCTGACTTGCAAGGCTCCTACACAATTAAAAGGACACTAAAGTTGTGACATGATGACAAAAAAATACAGTTAAAGGTGATTCACTAATTTCATGCTCTTTCAAGAAAGGGAGAACAAAGAACGTGTCGCTGCTGGAATGCTTAATTAGCAAAAATTCCCAAATTTGACTTATTGAAATCCATCTGCAAAGATCCTACCCATTGCCTGATTCACTAATGATCTAACAAACTCTGGTAGCTTAAGAAACTGATAAAGCTATGCTAGACTAAAAGGGCAAATGGGTGAGCAGACTGTAACCTGTATTATCGCTGAAGTCAGACCAGAAGATATAATGGTTTGTGCTGGCCTGTGGCACTGGGATTGTTGCTGTAAGAAACAGGGCAAAAGGGATGGAGGGAAGTGTTTGTTCATAATGCACTTTAGAGCTGGCTCAGAGCTCATAGCAGAGCAGGTAGACCTGAAATTGGCTGTCCAGAAGACACAGATACAACTCATTGTCCCTGGAGAGGTGGAGCTAGTGACATTGGATTTAGGAGAGGAGATTGCTGCTTTGAGGAATGGCCAAGTTACAGGGACAACAAGACAAACTTCCAGGGCTCTGGCATTGGCATGTTGGGCTCTGCATGCTGCCTCAAGCAAATCCCCATTTTTCCAAGAATCTGTTTTCTAATGTTGGCTCTGCTCAACTCCCTGTTCAGTCTGGAGAGCAAGCAGGGTCAGCTTGAATTGCTACAATGTGAATTGCCCCCAAGCCAGCCAAAGCCAAAACAGCTTGTTTATTAAATACAGACACCAGTTTGAATAACTGATGTTTGTCTACTTCATATAGGACTCCTTAGATGGAATAGATGGACAGAGAGCTGGTTCTTTTCCTTCTACTCATTCCAACACCTTACCAAGTGCTATATCTAGGACTCATACATATTCTAACCTTCAAATATCAATTGTTTGCCTTTCCAAAGCACTTGGACATGTTGAAAGGACAGGACAGATCTTTGGCAGTAAACTTCAAACACCTTGAACCTTCTCCTTGGCTCACATACTGAGAAATCAAAGCAAGGCAAATGGCCAGCCCCATTAAAAAAAAATCTGAACTCCCAAACCCAAAGAGTAATACACTTCGACTTCATGTTTAGCTGGCCAAGATCAAAACTATGATCTACAAAATCTTGTCTAATCCACTTTGGCATCTGAGGGGATGCAGTGACCAACATTTTCACTGCTGAAGTGATTTAGACACCTAAAATCCTGCCAACCCCTCTAACAACTGTGCAAGTGGGTACCTACGTGGTGGGGAGTACTTTTCTATTAATATAAGCAGTGTATTGAAATTTTAAATTAAAATTCTCCAAGTGAGTTCAGAAATGGCCTAAAAGGGTATGATATTTGACCATACAAGAAAACTCCTGGAAGTCTTAGATGCATTTGGAAGACTAAAACTGAATGCAAGAAAGCAAACTACAAAATCAAATAATTTCTAAATCTAAAATCAGCAAAGACAGAGATATTATATCAGATGGCTTGACACTACTTTTTGGTCATAGCAATAAAGAATAGCTATGATAAATGAATAAATATGCTGCAGCTTTTCTATGAGAAAACGTTGCAGAATTTTACAAAGCTACATTACTGCTATTTTTCACTTTTATGTTTATAACAAAGATTGTAGTATTGATTAAATTTAGAGAACATGGTAACAGAAAAGCCCTGATCCTACAAGTAAAGCATAGTTAAGAAACTGAAATGCTGACATATGATACAATAGTGAAAATGATAGT